CTCTCTACAGGGGTGGGGAACGTCAGGCCCGCAGGCCATGAAAGGCCTGAGAGATCATTTGGTCTGGCCCTGCCAAGGCATTAGGGGTGAGTTAATTAAATGTTGCACCAAATACAGCAGGCTACTTTTTAAGTTGCTAATTATGCCTGGCCTGCGAATGATGTCATAGATACCCAAAAGGCCCCGGGTGGAAGAAAGGTCCCCACCGCTGCCCTAGGAAATGAAGGAGAAGAGTGCGCTGGGTCACCCAGCCCTGAGCCATGCCTCCTCAGGAAGGCCTGCCAGGCACCGGCTGTCTGAATGCTGGGCTTTTAGGCAGAGCTACCAGCCCAGCCGTCCCTCAGACATAAAACAAGTGCCACAGGTTCCTGGGAGGCGCTCCTGTGATGCCCAGGACTCTGTGGCACAGGGTGAGAAAGCAGAAGGGGAAATTTCTGGCAAAAGGTCAGCCTGCGCCCCTCAGAGAGTCAACCAGCCTTTGCCCAGCCACGGCACTAGTAGCCCAGGGACCCAACCGCAGGCAGGAAGAGCTGGTCCCTGGGCTGGTTCGGCAAGCCCCCACCGACGTGTACCCACTGCTGGGCCCGCAGTCAGCTCCGGGTGAGCGGGTGCCGAGCGGCCGGAGCAGGCTCTGCAGGGCTGATTTGCACATCTCACCACGTTTGCATTCAGGATGTCTTGTTGGTGCCTGACATTGGCCTTGGTGGCAGTGCTATTCCACAGCTACTGGCAGCACAACAGGTCAGAGCGCCCCTCGCTGGCCCCATATGGAACATCTCCCTGCAGCACTGGTTCTGGGGGGTGGCCAGGCCTCTGGAGAGCAGACCTGGCTGCCCGCTGGAAAGGGAAGTGGGCAGGCGTGGCCTTTAGCAGGCCCCAGTGTGTATCCCAGCTCAGCCAAGTGCTAACCAATTTTGCCCCAGCTGTTCCAGCCCTCTGACCCTCGGCTTCTCTGGGTGCTCTGTGCCCTCAGGCATATTACCACCAGGCCCTTTGAGTCTGGGTTTCCTCGTCCAAAAAATTAGGTGGTGATACCTCTGCTATGAGAATTCAATGAAGTAATGCACTCAAGGGCCTAGCGTGGCTAAAGGGACACTCAGTTATCCTCAATCCCAGCCATCAGCAGGTGAGCATCCCCGACATACCAGCGAGACTAAATGAGGATGTGGATACACTTACTTTCCACAGCACCTTTTTAATGCGCCAGCTTGCAGCTACCATGACTGTATTCCCAAGCTCATGAAAAATTCCCAGGTTGGGCCCTAACTGGTCTGGCTCAGTGGATAGAGCGTCGGCCTGTGGACTGAAGGGTCCCAGGTTTGATTCCGGTCAAGGGCATGTACCTTGGTTGCGGGCACATCCCCAGTAGGAGATGTGCAGGAAGCAGCTGATTGATGTTTCTAACTCTCTATCCCTCTCCCTTCCTCTCTGTAAAAAATCAATAAAATATATATATTTTTTAAAATTCCCAGGTTGGACCTCTGGGCCATTGCTATTCTAGGACAGAGTTGCAGCCCAGCCCCAACTAAAAACTGTCCATTTTAGTTCCAAAGATGTGAAGTTTGGACTAGAGAGAACCAGGACACCTCAGCTGGGGTGTGTGGGCTTGGGGGGAAGCTGAGTTGGCATGCTGTACCTAGAAGGCCTGCCCTGCAGCCTGTCTGGGGGGAGCCCTCGCTGTCCTCTGGCACCAGTAATTAGCTGTGTGGCTTTGGGCAAATCGCCAATCCTTTCTGAACTTAGCTTCCCAATTGAGCAAATGGGGAGATGTGGGGATCCAGCACGGCCATGGCATACTCATGCCAGCTCAGCCTGGTTCAGTGACCCTGAGTGGGGGCGATGAAAGGCTTAGAAAAGACAGACAAGAGAATGACAGCTGGGTCTCGGTGGGACGCTGCTCCCTGATGAGGAGACAGCGCCAGCACCCACAAGCCGTGTCTTTATTTTATGGCAGATGCCACAAAGCCAAGTAAGGGCGTGATCAAGATGTTTACAGCATTCTCGTGGGTTTCAACCTCACTCAACTACATGCACCTGAACTCTATCACTCAGGCACGTGAGGCCATGTGTTCGGACCATAGGTTAAGCTTAAGCTATAGCTGTTGGCTATAATTGTGCTGGGAGGGCTCTGCCCTCCAAGCTGGGACTTGCATGTGGCAATGAGGACTGTGCCCTCTCCAGTCCAAGGCTTGAACCTGTCCAAACACTGTAGCCGCGCCCCACAGGGAGAGAAGTTCCAGACTGCCACTCAGAGCTGCTGTCTGGAGTGTACACACCAGCAGCTGGTAAATTGGTGCGCGCTGAGCAGATGCCGGGCATCACTACCAAACGCCTGTAGGTGGGCAAAGGGGACACGGCACCTGGCTCCCCACTCCAGACCTGCCAGTCAGCATGTCCAGCTCAGAACAGCAACAGAGCGCGGACACGGGCGTTTTCCCACGTGTCCCGAGCCAGGAAGGTGAGGGCAGAACTGGAGAGGGCGAGGACAGCTCGACTCCATGCACAGCTCTGTCAGACAGCTTGGTGCTGGCTCAGAGAGCGCAGGTAGCCCAGACAGGTTTGGTTCAGGACGGTCTACCCCTAACTCGTCACTCGGCCCTCTGGCCCTCTTCCTTCCAGACCTGTCCTTCAACAACATCGAGGCCATCGAGGGGCTGGACACACTGGTCAACCTGGAGGACCTGAGCTTGTTCAACAACCGCATCTCCAAGATCGACTCTCTGGACGCCCTGGTCAAGCTGCAGGTGCTGTCCCTGGGCAACAACCAAATCGGCAACATGATGAATGTGAGTGAGCTCAGGCCCAGGGCGGGGCTAGGGCTGGGGCTGGGGTCTGTGCCAAAGGGAAATGCAGGGTCAGTCTTTTAGATCTTCCGCTTTTCCTAGAGAAGCCAGAGACGCAGCTTATTGCACAAGAGATGTGGTAATGTTTAAACAACACGCTTCACCGTGAAAGGCCATCTGTGGGTGCCAGTTTGTGCCCTGCCTTGGTGGGGCCTCTTTCTTTCCCTGAGCCCCAGACTCACTTAAAAAGCCGTTGCTGAGGCAAGGACCTACTCGGGGGGACATTTGGCCTGTGCTCGGTGGTTACAGAGACCCGCAAGGCACAGTCCCTCAGGGATGCCTAGCACACATCTGCATAGTCAGGACACGCCGCATGACAAGAAGCTGGTGTCCACCCGGGGGGGCCAGGGGTGTGTACGTGTGAGGGGGCAGAGGTCATTGGTCATTTGGGGGAAGGTTGGCTGCCCCCTGTCTATTCCCAAGATCCCAGCGGCTGGGGATGGGGCAGGGACAGGCCCACAGCTGGGAACTGCTTCTCCAGCCGCCAGTCAATCCTGGGAGCTGTCCAATACCCGTGCAAGATTCCTGTTCTGCTTCCTTCAGTTAGATGGCCGGGGTCCAAACCCCAGCTGCATGCCCTAAGGCTCGAGCCTTCTATGCCTCAGTTTCCTCATCTGTAAAATGGAGATAGTGGCCATAACCCACCTGCCAGGAATTGAGTGAGGTGATGGACATGAGTCACCTCATTCAGTGTCAGGCTGGAGTGCGTTCTTTTTTTTGTTCTTAACCATCACCCAAGGATATTTTTCCATTTATTGATAGAGAAAGAGTAGAAAAGAGGGTAAGACGGAGAGAAACATAGATGTGAAAGAAACACATCGATTGGTTGCCTCCTGCACGAGCCCTGACCAGGGAGGAGCCTGCAACCAAGGTACATGCCCTTGACCAGAATTGTACCTGGGACCCTTCGGTCTACAAGTCGATGCTCTATCCACTGAGCCGAACTGGCTAGGGCTGTTCCTTTTTATATGTAAACTAGAGGCCCAGTGCATGAAATTCATGCATGGGTAGGGTTCCTAGTGGCTGCCAGCCAGGGCATCCCTTCCCCCAGCTGCCAGCCAGGGCGTCCCTTCCCCTGGCCATCTGCCACTGCTGCCGGCCGGGGCGTGGCTGGCTGGGGAGAGGGGCCACAGGCGGTTGGCTGGCCGGCCCTCCCCTTGGTTGAACTCCCGGTCAAACTCCCGGTCAAGGGGACAATTTGTATATTAGGCTTTTATTATATAGGATATATTTTCATTGATTTCAGAGAGGAAGGGAGAAGGAGAGAGAAGCATCAATGATAAGAGAGAATTATTGATCAGCTGCCTCCTGCACACCCCCCACTGGGGATCAAGCCCACAACCCAGGCATGTGCCCTGATTGGTAATTGAACCATGACCTCCTGGTTCATAGCTTGATGCTCAGCCACTGAGCCACACCAGTCGGGCTGGAGTACATTCTTAACAAAGGGAGGACTGTCGCAGCTGAGATCCTCCCTGAGAAATTCATTTGAACCTCTAGCCAAGCTCACCAAGAAACACAGAGAGAAGACCCAAATAAACAAAATCAGAAATGAAAGAGGTGAAGTAACAACCAACCCCACAGACATACAAAGGATTGTAAAAAAATACTACAAACAACTCTATTCCAACAAATTGGACAACTTAGACAAAATGGACATATTCCTAGAAAAATACAAGCTTCCAAAACTCAATCAGGAAGAATAAAAAGAAAAAACCGGAATAGGCCGATAACTACCGATGAAATTGAAGCAGTAATAAGAAATCTTCCAGCAAACAAAAGCCCTGGTCTGGCCGGCTTCACAGGGGAGTTTTACCAAACATTCAAAGAAGAATTAAAACCTATTCTCCTCAGACTATTCCAAAAAAAATTCAAGAGGAAGGCACACTTCCAAGCTCTTTCTATGAAGCCAACATTACCCTGATCCCAAAACCGGATAAAGGCACTACAAAGAAGGAGAATTACAGGCCAATATCCTTGATGGACATAGATGATAAAATCCTCAACAAAATTCTAGCAAATCAGATCCAGCAATATATTAAGAAGATCATACACCATGACCAAGTGGGATTTTTTCCGGGGATGCAAGATACAATATCCGCAAATCAACAAACGTTATACATAATGTAAACAAATTGAGAGACAAAAATCACATAATCATATCAATTGATGCAGAAAAAGCATATGACAAAATCCAACTTCCTTTCTTGATAAAAACACTCAACAAAGTGGGAATAGAGGGATCATACCTCAATATAATAAAAGACTTATATGACAAACCTACAGCCAACATCATACTCAATGGGCAAAAAATAACTCATTTCCCCTAAGAACAGGAATAAGACAGGGATGCCCACTTTCACCACTCCTGTTCAACATAGTACTGGAAGTGCTAGCCACAGCGATCAGACAAGAAGAAAATATAAAAGGTATCCAAACTGGAAAAAAAGAAAGAAAACTGCCCTTATTCACAGATGACATCATATTGTACATAGAAACCCTAAAGATACCATCAAAAAACTACTAGACTTAATAAATGAATTTGGCAATGTAGCAGGATACAAAATTAACACCCAGAAATCTATGGCTTTTTTATACATCAATAATGAAATCACAGAAAGAGAAACTAAAAAAAAAAAAAAAAATCCCATTTACCACTGCACCAAAAAATTAAGATACCAAGGAATAAACTTAAATGAGGAGGTAAAAGACCTGTACTTGGAAAACTATAGGCCATTGAGGGTGAAGGCAGGATTGGGGGGATGACAGGACATTGGGGGGATAAGGACACATTTGTAATATCTTATTCAATAAAGGGGAAAAAATAAACAAATCATCAAAAAATAATATAAAGAAAATTAAAAATAACTCACACACTTGGACATCAGCCTCACATCTAACTGGCAAAGGACCCCCACTCAGAAGACACAAAGCACTATACATCAGCACCCAAGGAAAAGGCACATGATCCTCGATGAAGAGAAACACATAGACAGGATGCACTGAGGAGGACTAGTAATATCCCAGCCCAACGTTGCCATCATGGGTTCACATGTTATGTTATTAAACTTTCACATGCATATTTATACATAATAGATAAGAAAAAGGAACTGAACCCTACCTTACCCTACCTTACCTTATACCAAACCAGGCAAACCCAGTATAAGAAAAGAAAACCACATACCAATATCCCTCATGAATATAGATGCAGAAATTCTCAACAAAATACTAGCAGATTGAATCTAGCAGTACATGGAAAAGGATAATGCTCCACTATCAGATGGCTTATCAATCACAGTGATCCATCATACAGGCCAACAAAAGAAGAAACCGCACGGTCACATGAATGGATGCCGAAAAGCACTTAACAAAACTCAACAGCAGCTCATGATAAAATACTCAGTAAACTGGGAGTAAAGGGAAATCCTTAATCTGATAAGGGGCGCCTACAAAAACCTAGAGCTAACATTTTATGTAATAATGAAAGATTGAATGCTTTTGCTTAAAACAAGGAAACCACCCACCACTCCTATTCACCATCACACTGGAGGTCCTAGCCAGTTCAATATGGAAAAAAAAGGAAGAAAAGAACAGGCATACAGAAAATTTGCCCTATTCTCATGAGACACGATTGTATAAGTTCCCAAAGAATGTCCCAAACCACCTTCTAAAATTAATAAGTGAGTTTAGCAAGAGGGTCAACCCACAAAAATCATTTCTATAAAGGGTGCCCCAAGATGTATACACATTATAAAGGTAGTGTCTATTAAAATACATTTTATTTTCAACATGTAATAGAATTTACAGACATTGTGTGTATACATTTTTTGTGACTTCCTGTATATTTAACTGATATGTTGACAAGGGCCTTCTTCCCTTCAAATGTTTGAAA